TCAACATCGCTTATCTGTGTGATAGTTGACCAAGGTAGTTTATCTACATCTTGTAGAAATTGTTCTTCATTAAAATTGCGAAAGTTACGAAATGTTCTTTGGTCATGTTCATTTTTATATGGTTTAAGTTTCAGTGAGGTAAAAATAAAATCATGATCGCTAAGAAAAGATTGAATTACAAAAGTGTTTTGGTGCAGGCGAGTATTTGTTGTCAGGATCAGATCAATCAAAGATTGACCGTCGTCAGTGGTGCGAGTTGGAGAAGGCACTATTTGAGTAAGACGAAAGAGATCCATTTTATCCTGTAGATTGTTGCGATTTGAGTGGGATTTCAAAAAATCAATATTAAAGTCACCCAAAATTATTAAGTCTCTTGCAACACAATAAGTATTTAAAAAGTTTTCAAAATTTTCAATAAAAAATTGCAGGCGTATTTGGAGGTCTGTACACAGTTGTTATACGAACATACATCAAACATCATAGCTATGACAAAAATAACATAAAGACGACTTAATCAATCTATCGTCTTGAATGTTTAACCAGTGTTTTAATTAAGGCTAAAGTTCGGGTGAATGCCGTATCATCATCGTACTTGCATCGTATAATTGTATTGGCAAATCAACCGCAATTACAATACTGTACTGCGACGTTCCGCAAACTATGGTCCGCGGCCCAAAGTTGGGCCGCGAAACATTTTTTAGGGCCGCGAAGCCGTCTGGAAATTAAAAAAAAACCCAAACAAATAAAGCTGCTTCATTGTTACAGCGAATGCGTCGTTTGCACACGCTGCTAAAAGTGCCAGATGATGCGTGCTATTTGAGTTATAAGCGGTTTTTTTATGCCCCCTCGGGAGCCTTTATCTGTATATATATTCCTGATAGTTCTAGTATGCAACATTATTTTCTATAAATAAATATACTGTAAATATACCTTTTTTAAGCATTAAATACATGACAAGCGCGGATCCAGAGTTTACCCTGGCTTTCGCACAGGTGGGTTCCCATATTGGGAGAGTCATGAGAAGAGAGCTAGCTTGTTTTGTGGCTGGAAGATAAATTTTAGATATTCGAAAATTTTTGTTTTCTAGATTCTTTTAAATACACTTCGTGCATTATGAGGCGTCTATTATTGAATACACTTTTAATTCATAGTTTTTCCCTACTTTGCTATAGACAATTAATAATTATGATGATGAAGAAGATTATGATGATGAGGAGGAAGCTGTGCAAGATTAATTAACAAGCCCTTTTATGTGAAGTGTCAAGCGAGGCCCGTAGCCTAAGTTACGTTTGGGTATTTGGAGACATTATCGTCGTCGTCAAATGTTCAATGCACACAGTCGGACAATAGATGATTTATGATATCTGTTTTGTATAGAAAGTAATCTGAAACCCATAAAGTATCAGTTCAGGCATTCATTTATCTGTCTGTGGAAAATATAACATACGAATCATACAAAATAAAAAGAATTCAAATAAAATAAAAATATGTCAAAAACATCTACACTAAATCAAAATGGAATATTCACTGCCTGTTGGATCCCAGTTTTAGTACCGGTATATAACCAATCCCCGTATTTCTGATAGATCGCTGATTAAATGTAAAATATTTAAGATTTTATATTCAGTACATTCTCAAATGTTATATTAATCTCATATATCCCAAAATTACGTTCATGCACCGAAGTAGAAAGTTCAAGTTAATATTTTGATACGTTTTATGTTGAATGGTTTTTAATGATAGTCCTATTATTACAGTCTAATATGACCATAAGGAAGTTCTCTCCTTTAAAATGTTAACCTACTAAACTTTGCGTACCTCAATATACATATATAAGTCTACTCGTTAAATTAGTGTATATAGTATAGAGAATTTTGTCTGTCAATCTCAGATTCCAAATTTTAGGAAATTACATTTTATGCATGCACCGACATAAGAACTTTAACCTAATAACTTTGATATTTGTGGGTCCGATGTTTTATGTTGTTTGTTGAATGGACTTCTTTAATAATAATATTAACAGTCTGATATAACCACAACATAAGGAAGTCCACTCTGTAAATGTTTAGCATAATATTGTACAGACAATGTAGATTGTTTAGGTCCCATAAAAAAAATTTATTAGTTTATCACCCGCTCCCTCATCACTTTTGGGGAAAATCTGATTTTTTTTTTTTTCAATCAACATATATTTTCATTTCAAACAGTCCTTTTTCCATCTTTTTTTTCACTTGAAAAGCTCAGGGTTTCTTGCAAATATGCTTACTGGTACAACAAAAACATTTTTTAAATATAAATTTGATTCTATTCTAATGACTTTTTATATATGTCTCTAATAGCCAATTCATGACAAAAAGCCAAGTGGTCAACTCAGATGTGTATAAGAGACAGGCAAAAAGAGAGAGAAAAAAAAAACCCCCCCTCCCTCATCAGTTTTTATTCTTTGATAGGGTGATAAACTAATAATTTTTTTTATGGGGCTATGAGACCCCGGTAAAGAGCGCTATATAAATGCTAAAATATTATTATTATTATTATATATATAATATTATTACAACATTGAGTGATCATTTATCTTATGCTTTTATATGGGAAAAAATGTTTTTAGTACACGATACGTACGTATGCATTACAAACTCGGCAACCATAGATCGCTGAGCTTTGGGCCCGGTGAACGGTCAAGTGTAGCTCATAAATTAAGCTTTCTTGTCATGTAAGCCTCATGCTGGTTGGCTAAGTAACCAGTGATCATTTTTTTCTTCAAAATCGTTTTTACCCGTTTTGAGTCTTGAGCTTTACTGAAAATAGGGTTAAGTTTTTTATTATGAGGTCCATTAGGTACAGAATCGGTTTATAAATTTTATAATTATTTATCCAACAAAAAAACATGTTACAGATCGGCGAAGTCCAGTAGTTTCAATACTCATTAGTGTTTTTTTTAGTCAAGACACTTTGAAAACATTGCGTGTTCATCTCCTTCACTGAGTACAAATAAGTAAATACCAATTCTCAGATTTAATATCTGCAACATTATGAAATACTCCACAGGGAGCAGAATAGGTATCTATTATTTGATCTAAACACTAATGTGAATCATGTTGCCATGATGAGCTATGACGAACCATACTGTTACTATTATTGGAGATAATTGCCATATTTTCATTGAGAAACCACTCACTGTTGGAATAATATAAACCAAAAAAAGAAACAACTTTACAATTCAATCATTTTATTTGGTTTTTTTTTCAAAGAATCACAAAAGTTTATCTGGTTCTACCAACCAAATATCTGCTGTTTCTAAATAGATTTTTACTTACTTTTTTTGCATCAACAGATTTAAATAATATCAAGTATAAAATATTATTAAGATAACATTCTCATATGTTTGCATAAAATTGTTAAATCACAAAATATTCAATAATATTGTTATATAGTATTTAAGATAACTTACGAATATGGGCCAAATCAATAAAACCATTGGACTGAACTTTTACCTCACTACCCAGGGGCGGATCCAGAAATGTCCAGGGGGGGGGGGCCGGAAGGGTGGCCGAAAGTTGGGCCGATTGAGACAACACTGTCGTAGGGGGTCCGAAAAATTTTTGTGTTCTAGACGCCCGAACATAACATTTGAGGCATTCTAGGCCATAATTTTTTTCTTTTTCTCTCTTTTTTTTTTCTTTTTTTACCTCCCAAAAGGGCTGTCTCTTATACACATCTAGATGTGTACTAAATCCGCGCCTGCTACCCCATTACTTCACTAATTCAGTGGACACCTGTTGAATGTCTCCTTAATTATTATATATGAAGTCTTTGACAGGACAATAGCCAATTCATGACAAAAAGCCAAGTGGTCAACTCCTTGCATTTGATTTATAAAATAAGCTCGATTGAGAGACAGATCGTTACTAAATACAAGTTAAGTTCTACCCCCAAAGTTGTTATATTATCTGACCAATAGAAACTCCCCAAAATGATGTAATAGTCAAATGATTAGGATAAGGTGATATCTTTCAACCAATCAGAGAAAGTCCAGCACACCCCAAGCTTGTATGAAAAGTAAAGTATTAGTTATACCTTGATACCTTGAAGGAAACACTACGTCTCACAACCCTACTTGTATATATTGTATATATCATGCAGTAGAATAGTAAATAAAAGCGTTTGCATTATAACCAGAAGAGATGTAGTCAGTTCAGTTATTAAAAGTAAATCATCTCGCACTACAATATTACATACCGTAGTGAAGATCCAGTCTTTGCATCCGGAACATACATTTAGAATCGGGCACAACAACTTGAGCATTACATGGCGAACTGCCATACGTAATATTACAATATATAGAAGTTCATGCACACATTCACACAAAGCACCGATAAAATCGTCGTGGATGGTCAGGCAACGTTGGCCGATACAGCGTGTCAGCCTTGATTTCTGAATACGAGGATTAGCGAATGGGAGTTATTTTCACTTGTGAGTGAGACAAATTGTTTTGTTAGCATTTTCATGATTTCGATCCAGGTCAATAATGAAACTCTTTAACATCCAACCTACAGTTAGGGGTGGTGCTAGCTTTTTTCCCATGACAGATGGCCCATCGTTCACACCAGAGTCCATACCCACCTCAACACCACCATGACAGCCTGACCAGGCCTCCTCGATGGCTTTGCCCAGGCCCAGCCAGCCCCTCAACCGGTGCTACCCCTGTCTACAGCACCATACTTAATTGAAAATTGTGTCCATGATCTTCCTTTAAGTTTTTTCTACTACTTTCAGCATTTCTTGTATACTCGTTATTTTTTCTCTTGGTCTGTCATTCGCATTCCCTCGTTCTGTTTCTAATTGATCTATTATCTTCCAGTCATCAAAACTGAGAGATTGTACGCCTAAAAGTAAAAAAAAAAAAAGATTTAAAATATGAATGTAAATGATAACCAATAGCAAAATTACCTGTTTATTAATAAGAAAAATCATTTACATATTAATATAATAATATTTAAGTATGTAATGCTCATTTTGTAATAACAATAACCAACAAAAACAATGTTAGCAGTAGTTATTAGTAGTAGTATTAGTACCCGATGAAGAAATAATAACGGTAATAATAATGACTTGACATGATAACAAAAAAAAGATATAGACAATAATAACAATAATAATATATATAACTACCTCTTTCTTTTAGAAGTTCTTTTATATTGTGTTGACCTTTTAACTTGTGAATGACTTCCTTCTCTATATCTTTCAGAATTACCTTACTTGTTTCCATGGCATCATTCAGTGTTGATAGTATCGCCCCTTGTGGTCCTCGTTTCACCCACCCGCTACAATACAAACCTACAAACACAATATAGTTAAGGTAATTGAAAGACACTGTCTATAAAGCTAGACATACAATATGGATTCATCGAAGAGCAAAAAACATAAAACCAAAATGTAATAAACTTGAATCTAACCATTATCATTATCATAATTATTGCATTAACAAGTGTTATGTTTATCGTATTAGATGGGACTTTTGACTTTATTTGAAACTACACCAGTGGTGGCGCAGGGGGGGGGGGGGGGTGGGCAATAGCCCCACCCCACCCCCTTCAATGGTAATGGTAATGGTGGGATATTTGCAGTGCGCCTTCCACAATAAAACCATGAATTTAAAAAAAATTAAATTAATGAGACTAATTAAAAATAATTTGCGTTCTGTTACGACAAATGCTCATTCAGATAGCCTCATGATGGTTGGAATACATCGTGATAGGTGAAGCAACCTCGACCATGACAACGTGGTTGACAGATTTCATGCAAAATTTCCAAAATATAGAATTTCACTTTCAAGAATGAGGATTTGAAAATAAATTAGATGGTTATATTGCATATTCTTCGTTTCTTGCTTTATTCCGAAAGTTTTGGTTTTGGAAGCTGATTTCAACATTAGAAAACATAGCCTACATGAAGTCATATTATAGTAACTCGATGCCTATCAAATAAGTAATAAAATTTTGCCCTAATTCATCAAATATCCGTGGCTTCCAGGGGGGGGGGGGCGAAGCCCCCTGGACCCCACCGGGGGCCCTGGCCCCCAGCCAAGTGAGACTCGATTCGCTCCACTAGCCCCCCCCCCGGCAGGTCCTGGCGCCATCACTAAACTACACTTGTGAATGCGGTGCGTTCACAATAAAACTATAAAACCACAGACTAAAAAACGACACACATACAGAAATAAGACAAAGCTTAGAAGATAATTCAATTAAATATTCAGTGATATTTTAAATCAATTAATCTTTACTTAAGCAAGTTCACTGCCAGACCCTTTTTTTTTTAGGTTCCTTCCTGTGAGCCAGAACAAGTATACATGTACAAAAATACTTTTTTTAAATTCTATTTATTCATATCATCAAAATGGTCAAATAAATTGGTGGGAAAATATTAGGGGACGAGTAAATTCGTCGCCAGCACTGGGACAGCATTCTTTATTGTCTCTTTGAAGTGCGAGTTTACTTGTGCGCTTTTTGCATGGGTTGGTATATGTTCAGAGGGTGCCCCACTTGTGCAATTGAGTACACTGCCGGCAAGATAACACAACAAAGATACATCCATTATTTGTACGTTATCGTCTAGGTGTATTTTCCCCAAACTACCAGCCATTAAGTCTGTGGTTCTACAATGTATAACAAAGAAGTAATAAACGCTAGCATGTTACCCCGACTTTGACGAATATAGTCGTTCCTAACACCCTCAGCAACAGCTTGCCGGAGTTACGCTGGTAGCCAACGTGTTAAAACTATTCTAAATTATTTAAAATACAAGCAAAACATGAACGGGTAAAAATTGTGTTATATTATGTCTTTGCCAACCTGTCATGTTATTTACACGCCCCTGGTTGTTCTTCACAATGCCTAACCTATCATCAAATGGAACGGTCTGGTCTATACATGTGCTCTTGTATCCAATACTTCTAAGAACTAAACCACATGGTATGTCTTCAACCTCATCCGTTGCAACTGCATATTCCCGGCCAACTTCACCCTGAAGAACAAAAACAAGAATGTTAATGTCACTACTACAGAATTTTCTGGTATTTCTCTTTTACTTTTTTTTGTAGTAAAATTTTCTCCGATCTGTCAAACTGTATCTTAATGGTGAATATGTCTGACTTCCAAAACCAGAGTTCTGGGTACAAATTCTTGAAAATCCCATGATTATTTGCCAAAATTGAAAGCCAACCGCATTTTTTTAATGCTAGGCTACACAAAAAGTCAACAGTTTTGCAAATGGCCATGAAAAACAATTTGCGAGGCTGTTTAGGCCTTAAGTTGCGTAAGCCAACCCACACAAAAGTAAACAGCTTCACAAATGGTTTGAGTGGTCATTTACATTTGGCAGATGATATCAACAACTATGCAATCTTATTATAGTTAATTGCTTTATTTTTCTCAGCAAGTAGTTCAAGATAACCACAAGTGAGGAATTAATTACTCAAGAACAATGTTAAATCTTTTTTTCTTCTAGGTCCTTAACAACATTCACAGTACACAAAAGTAAACAACTTTGCAAATAATTATTACAGTATTTGTAATGTTTTGTGATGTTGTTTACCTAGTGTGCGGCAGACCTAAACCTAATATTACAACTTAATTTGAAAAGCACCACATTGTCCTAAGGTGTGCATATAATTGCTGTTGGATGTGGATTATAAAAGCTTATATCCTTGTAACAAATTGAGGAAAAATGCTGAAAATTCTGAAATTTTTAAGAAAGTTTATGTGTGCGTCTACTTTTTCCACCTTCTTGCTGAGTTTCCCAAACTGTCTAAGGTCTTGCTTTGCTGGTACACAGTACTGGACTGTGTATAGTTATGTATGATCCAGCCAAACCTCCGAATGAAAAGTAATATAAATACAAATTTAAAAGCAACAAACATACTTTATATCCTTGTACATTTCAAATTAGATTTAATATGGTGACTGTTTACTTAAAGATATTATATAATACTTTGAGTAAACAAATTGTCACACTAGGATTCAAACTCATAATTTGGTTGCTATAATAACTGAACTACAGTAGGTAAAGGTGATATACACATTTAACAATAAAATCTAAGGGTCATAGTCAAATGTTAGAGCAAACGAATGGCATTTAAAGACATTAAATAATACTTTGAGCAAAACACATTGTCCCATATCAAACTGATGATTCTGTTGCTACAATAACTGAAGTATGTAAAGCTGGTATACACACTTAAGGCTCTCCCCACACTATCAAATTTTATATGACAAATGTGTGATGTGTCCATATATGGGCATGATGATGTCATATTATACCCAAATATGGGCATATTACATCCAAATATGGTCATATCACATTTTTTGTCACATAAACTTTGATAGTGTAGACAAAGTTTAACAAGAAAATTTAAGGCTCATACAGTAAGTCAAATAGCAAACAAATAGTAGTAAAGGTTAGGTTCAAATCTTGGGACCGATAAGTTTTTTTTTTTCTCAACAAATTATTTAACGTCTTTTACCTAAAAACAGATGAGTTATTGTACCACTAGATTGTTAATTCGAAGTCTCAGGCCTGCGACTTTACCACCATCTTGCGATGGCAGCACCTCTACCGGGCTTCTAAGGAACTCCATCCTCCAGTCTTTGATGGCATCTTCAGTTCTATCTTCAGAGGGCCTAAATGCTGTGTCTACCATCAGTTGTGTAAGTCTTCGTTTTGGTCGGGGAAGTTCTGAGAAGAGATTCATTGATTGATTGATTTAAGTATTTATCTATTTATTTATTTATTTATGTATTTATTTATCAGCCTAATCATCGTCTCAGTTTCTACGAAAGGATATCTTGATTTATATTATATGCCACTATATATTTCCAGCCATTCCCCAGATCTATGAGGTTAAATGCACATAGTGCAACAGAGTGTACCTGGCAGTTATTTGAATCTGTCCAACCATGAAGCCTATGTGGTCTAATGGTTATGACGAATGCCTTAACAGCGAGATGTTGCAGGTTCGAATCCCGTCTGTGGCATTTTATTACATAATGTATTTATTTATTCATTTCCAAACCAACAGAGAAAAATCACCACATACAGAATGGATATAAAATATATAATATAAACTCTAAGAATACAAGCAAGACAATCAAAAACTACATTCCTAACTAACTCCTACCCCACCAAAAACATAGAATCAAGAAACAAAACACAGTTTACAAAGACAGCTTAAACTTGGATACTTTTTTAAATTAGTGATCGGAAATGTTTAAAACTATTTAAAAAGACATCAATGTTACTATTTTCAGAAACAACACAGTTGTAAGAAGGTAACCTAGAAATAAAACTCTGTTATGTTTTGAGTACAGCAAATAATTAACCATAAAGCATACTTCAAAGGATTATGGCGCCGATCTATGGTGACACAGTTTTGAGTGTGTCAATATGTTACTGGTGAATGTTTCGTTAATTGTCTCTAGTAATTTAGACTGCAATGTTTACATATTCTGACGAGCAAGTAAAGGAAATCAAGTAGGCACAAATAAACATAAAAATTAATATTCTGAAATACAAGGCATCAGTTAAATAATAATGCTACACCTAAGGCCAGTAAGGCCTAATCAGTATTAAAAGGGGATCGAGGACATGGCTTGCTCACTGGGCTTAGAAAGCGTACCATCAATGCTCTGTTGGCCATCATTTATCTGGCAAATTTAAGTTCATTATGTAATAGTGCTCATGAATACTCATAACATGGTTACAGGGATAGCCGTGGACTTGCATATTCCTGACAATTCTGCTAGTCTAGCCACTGCCACCCCTACTCCCCCACTCCAAATAAACCTTACTAAATAAGACAAAGGCAGAATAGCATTGTTTTCTTGTACCTTCAACTATGCCTTTTATATGTTCAAAATCTTTGCGATGTAATATAGGTTGGCACTGGGGCAGCTTCATCATTTCTCGTAGTTCTTTGATCGTGTAAGATATTTGTAAGGGTCCTCGTCGACCAATCAGAATAACATGCTTCACTTTACTCTCCGCAAGCCTTTCTAGTGAATACTGGGTAATGTCTGTTTTCTGTTGGAATTTAAAAATGTTAGTTTTCTCTATTAGTTTACTTTAGTTTCTTCAGGACTGATACATCAAACAAATCAGTAGTGATGTTGTTAATCTAGGGGTACGATACTCACTGGGCTGGGGTATTTGGTGGTAGGGGGTGCGTGAGCTGTTCACACGACCAAAGCCCAAACATGGTTGGGGCTGAGGGTAGAAAATTTGGAGAATATGGAACTCTAGGTGCCCAGAAATTGCACTTTCGGTTATTCATATCAACATTACAATATACAGTACAACAATAAATTTTAGGGGGTGTGTACCGTCTGCACCGATCGCACCGTCTCCACCTCCTCCCCACCTGGGATAGACTGATTAGTCTCTCCAGGTATATATTAACTAAAGCCCTGTCCCGACTATTAAATTTTATTTGACAAATACATGTGACACCCCTAAATATGGTCATGATGACATCACATCATGACCATATATAGGCACATCATGACTATATATGGGCATACAGTACAACAGTTTTTTTGTCAAGGGCAAATTTGATAGTCTGGACGGAGCTTAATAAAGGTCTACAAACTCTATTAAATTGTATGTGACCAATACATACTGCCCATATATGGGTATGATGTGACATCATCATGCCCATATATAGATGTGATATGACATCATTATTTTATGCCCATATATTGGCAATTCACATCAAATTTACAGTGTGGATAAAGCTACTGTATCAGCCGAATTCTAATAATAAAGGTCTATCCATACTACCAATTTCTTGACAAATATACTGGTCATTTGCCCAGGGGTGGATTGGGGGGGGGGGGCTGCCGAGGCAGCCTTCCCCCTTTTTTGGAAAGTCAAAAAAAAAAAAAGAAAAAGAAAAAGAAAGAAATTAATGATCGATCGAAAACAAAATTCCCCGACCCCCTAGAGTAGGGAGAATCCCTGACCACCCTAGGGTAGTGTTATCTCTCGATCGGTCCCCTATCGGCCCCTCTTTCATACATCTCTGGATCTATCCCTGCATTTGCCCATATATGTGTGATACAAACATCACCATTTCCAGAGCTTTAGTATACAGATCTTTGTTACATCAAGTGACAAATTTTGTCCGTGTTGAATGTGAATGCTGTATAATTTCTCTGTCAATTTATCTATTTGAATATTGTTTTTCCACTCAAATAAGTTAGAGATTTCATTATTTGAGATTATTAGCCACACATAAACTGACCTTTAGTATATCAATAGGAGTCAGCAGTATCCTAGCAACATCTAAAGCTACATTCCCTTGACCAATTATAACAGCTGTCTCTGAATCAAGTTTTGGATTGAGCTAAAAGATAAGATGAAATCAGTAGAATTATTTCATCATCACCAAAATCCTCAATTATTAAAATCCATATCATCATAATCATCAAAATCCTCAATTATTAAAATCATCCTCATAATCATAACCCTCAATTATTAAAATCAATATCATCATCAAAAACCTCAATTAAAATCAAAATAATGATCATCATCATCATCAGAATCCTCAATTATTTAAATCATCATCATAATCCTCAAATATTAAGATCAACATCATCATACATCATCAAAATCCTCTATTATTAAAATCATATCACCATCATAATCCTCAATTATTAAAACCAATATCAACATCATCATTATCAAAATCTCTATTACAGTTGAACTTGCCTAAGTCGAATCCAAAATGTCATTGAATTATTGTTCGATTTCGATAAAATTCGACTTACAGATTGTTAATTACTGGAAAACACAACAATTTGGCATGTAAAATTAGATTGGCATGTAAAATTAGATCGACTTAGAAATTTTCGACTTAGGCAAAGTCGACTTACTGTAGGTAAGTTTAACTATTAAAATTAACATCATCATTATCATCACCATCCTCAATTATTAAAATCAACATCATCATCAATAATAAGCCAATTAATAGTTCGAACTGCGCATGCTTGTATCACGATTAATTAACATAAGCATCATACACACAACATAGGCTGGGTCAATTGACCCTGGATACCACGGATACGCACATACGCAGTTCAAACCATGGACTGGCTTACCGTCAATAATTTATTGAAAATACATATTGAAAATTATCATCATAGAGATTTAAATGAACAGTGACTATGCACTATACCTCTCTATCTTCTGGAAGGCCATTGTACCAGCCGACAAATGACCTGGCAGATAGCACCCCATCCAAGTGCTCTCCTGGGATCCCTAACTGTTTATCATCATCAGCACCATAGCTCTGTTAAGAGAGGACGTTCATGTTAGAAATACTAAACAAATAACCATAATAATAATAATAAACGAAAAAAACATGAAAAGCAATGATAATAATAAAAATGATAATGGTACTGAAGATGTTTGTTATTTATTTTTAATTTTTTAGGAAATTGGGTTACAGATTTAAGAGAAGTATTAAAGTAGAATACAGTATGGCATGAGATTCTCATTCACTAGTCCATAAAAAAATACAAATGCATAAAATGGAATTTTTCCGTTTGAATACACACATTGCAAAGTACATTTTAGAATACTGTATATTAAGATATTTAAGCAAAAAACGAAATATATAAGATAAGTTATAATATTCAATGTCAAAAATATATTAAGAATCATTGTAAACAATTATAAAAAGATCTTAAGGATACATAAAAAAAATTAAACAATTAAAAAGAGTGAATGATACCAACTGAAAAACTGAAGCAAACACCGAAGGCACTAGAATGTAAGGTAGTGTAAAGAAAAACATAACTTTTGTAATAAAAAAAAAACAGTGTATACTTAATACCATGCTCAATACAAAGTACACAATTTAAAGTACATTTATTTATATACAAAATAATATATATTTTTAATAAATTTAGATAGTTACAGGTTTTATGTTACTGTACTTACCAGCACTACAGCATCATACATCTGTCTAAGCTCAGTCAGAGACACATCTTTCCCAACATTTACGTTGCCATGGAAATGAAATCGATCTCCTTCAGCCAGCGTGGTAAACTGGTTGATAACATTCTGAAATTGATGTGAACACAGAATTCAAAATCAAGAAATGTAGTAGAACCCCCTTTTCGGACACCCCTATTAAAGGGACAATCCTATAAGGGGACACTTTTTTTAGTCAAGAAATAAGGGAAGTATATCATTTAACACTATGGCTAACCCCTATTCAAGGGACACCCCTATTAAGGGACACTTTTTTGTCCCAACGGTGTCACCATAATATGGGTTGTACTGTATATACAAAGATTAGATTAGATCAAACATTTGTTTTCTTGCAAATCCTGCACCTGGACACATGGTTGGGGTCCACACGGAATAAAAAAAAAAAAAATGCCAATAGGGCATCTACATATCTACCTTGACTTCCGGATGGTCTGGAGCAACTCCGAACCTGACAAGACCGAATGGAACTGGAAGCCGCTCAAGCATGTCAACTGTTAATTTCTTGTGTCCCTAAATGAAACAAACATTTAATTGAACTAAATTGATGAATTGAGGTAACAAAATATATGCAACATAACTGGCATAAAATTTGTAATAAATACTGTAGTATACTCTTTTTTTCAAGAAATGAGGCACCTAATTTCACAAGTATGATAGTGCATAGGAATATTGACAACAACATTGACAACATACTTTGAGTAGGCTCTGAGCTGTGTAAAATCCAGCTGGACCACTGCCAACTATGCACACACTTGGTGTGTTGCTGCCAGTACATAACGTCCGCTGAAACAGTCTGTACAAGCCTAGATATATTAAAAACAACAAAAGTCAAGAATTTGTATTCAAATATATCTTTGTATTTAAGTGGGCCTCTGAACGTCAACATGCTATATAAGGTTCGCCCATTTAAAATATGGTGACTAAATGAATTAATAAATAATACATTTTTATTCCATAATTTCATATCAGAGGAGGGTAATCTAGCAGATTTTACTATTTAAATAGAAACAAGACAATATTTTAGACATGAAATTATTCAATTTAATTACAGGTACTAATAATAGGCTCTGACTTGCAGTTAGAGTATAAGTTGGACTACCATGAAGGTTACCTAATTAACCATTATAACAATATTAATTACTGTCATTATAACAACATAGAAGCTGCTACTTGACTGTTGTTTGCAAGAATAGCTGAATGTAAACAGAAACACTTGACCTACACAAGCTATCATCAGTGATCTGTTGTTATGCAAAAGCTCTACTTGGAACTTGGAGAAATCACATGATAAATAAGGTTTTGTAAGGGGAGACTTTTTTATACTTTGTTTCTCAAACTTATTTTTTAAAGACCGTCAGAGAAGGGTGAAAAAAAAAATACAATGAGACTTCTTATTTAGCAAATGGTTTTACCGAGATGGAGTAGAAAATAAAAATAACATTTTATCGTTGAATGTAAACAGTGTAGTAATGCGATGATAAATGCTTTAAAATAATATATAATGTGGAAGAAATATACATTTTTTTGAGATGTTAAGGGAGCAGCGGGCGTAATAAAAATAAAGGAAACTTAAATTTTTTTGAAATAATTAATTAACTGAAAGGAAACTATTACCTGTTAGTATGAATAGACGCAATAAATAATGAATGTTCTTTATTCGCACAAATGAAAGAATATTTTCATGAGTTGAAATATTGACTGTTCCATTCAACTCGGCTCCGCCTTGTCGAATGGAACAGTCCATCTCTCAACTCATGAAAATATTCTTCCCATTGTGCTCATAAACATTTATAATTTGTATACAATTTCATGAAGATCAGAACCAAAAGCTATGTTAAATAACCACCATTTTCAAATTAAATAAAAATATAAGCATTGATAGATAAGAATGATGTATGAATGTCCCCTTATACTATCATTTTCTGAGAGCATCTATTCTAAATACTCACATGGTCTATAAAGATTTGAACTCTGGAAACATGCTAATGATGAGTTGAATAGCTGCAATGAAGTAAACGCTTTTGACATGATGATTTAAAGATCTCCTTGGAGACATACAGAAAGATAACTGCAAGATAAAAATAGTAATTTCATGTCCAGTGCAAATTTAGTGAAAATAACTCCTATTCTTATTCTATTCAGTTACTCATCAACACCTATTCAGCATCTGGATAAGTCCATAGTGATTGGGGCTTTGAGATAGACCAGTACACTGGGGTAGTCTCGAAGGATGTACCGAGTTCTTTATAATGTACAAACCAATGGTGTATACTGGGCCTACGGCTTATGGTCCTTATCTGAAAAGGTTGTTCCACCTCCAGAATAAGCGAGCATGTCGTTTAAACCAGGGCTGATATTATGGCTGTAGGTTGCAGTACCCCTGCCTGCCTAACACCTCGGCCATTCAACTCGCTAATATTGTACATACAAATACTATTTTAACAAGTAAAGCTGAGAAAATGTAAGTTTTCATCCTCTGCACCCACATATGCCCCAAAAGCTACAAACAACTGAAACTATTTATTAATTACACACAATCACAAAAATCATTTTTTGCTGCAGAGGCATACTAAAGGGTAAACCAGGGAGGGTAAACCAACCTAGGAGGGCCTCGGCCTATTCTAGCATAGGGCCTATGCCTAGTACAGTAGTAGTAGTACGCCTAGGTACTAGTAGTAGTACGGGCCTAATAGTAGTACTGTACAACCAGTAGTTAGATAGCCTAGCCTGGCTAGGCCTAGCTACTAGGCTAGGCGAGCTCTTTCACTGAAAATGTAATTTACCAAATCTGACTGCACTTTTTTATCAACAATGTGTGTATTAGTAAAAAGAAAACAATAATCGGCGGCAGAGAGACAGATGATAGCCTAGGCCTACCTCAAAACACCACACCCACCAGCCTGGGATTCCCCAAACCTTATGTTTACCTATTTTTTTGGAGCGCAGGCAACGAATTGTGATTGGCTAATTTTAAGTTTACTCAACCATATCGTCGGGCGGCACACTGACCTCGAGGAGCGGGTTCAACATGTTTTCCTTGTATATGCCTAGAGTACAACTGGGAGGAAATGTTTGACATAAAAATCCCAATAGCAGTAATCTAGGATATAAATAGGTTATCACTAGCCTATATTATAGTAAGTTTATCTTAAAACTGCATAGGCTAGGCCTATAGGCCTACTTTTATAGGCCTAGCATAGCCATAGGTTTAAATCCTCAACACAACATATCGAGGAAGCTAGGCCCTAGGCTCCGAATTCGATCCAACTCGGCCACAAGTCAACTCGGCCACAGTCAACTCGGCCACAAGTCAACTCGGCCACAAGTCAACTCGGCCACAAGTTAACTCGGCCACAAGTCAACTCGGCCACAAAA